CTTCGCGTCTCCTTTCTTCTTCGGGCGTTTTACTGGGGCTTGGCGTTGTGAAGGAAAGCGCAGTGTTAAAAAACCCCACACCACCAACCGAAAGTCGTTGTTCTTCGTGACAAATGGGCAGTTCGTTCCACTCTCGTGGAATGCGAGATGTTATTTTCTGCCGTTTGCTGAGCGCAGTTAGTGCCCTCCTGGTCTGTCGCTGAGCTGTAGTTAAACAGGATAATGATGAGTTCGAAACTCTCGTGTAAGATTTCTTTCACCTTTCCTGCCTTGAAAAGACCTTTTCAGAGTAATGTCTGCGTGATAGGTAACATCTTACTACTTTGTTATATGTAAGGCTGCAGAACTTGTATAGATTTTACATTACTTAAATAAAGGGTCTCAAGGATGTGAAAAAATACAATTCTGGAAGTAGTTTGTGGTGCCTAGGAGTCGTAAAAACAGAGCACCAAGACTTCTGGTGTATACAAGTGCGGGGGCTGGTTTACAAACGTTGCTTTGTTTTCCTGTATTATTTGACTGCACTTAGATATTTAGACCATGAACATGTCAAGACTGTAGAAAGAGAAGTGCACGTGTCATGTTCCTACTGGTGTTAAAACTAGAATTGCACTTTGAGTGACATGGGAACTTTAACAGTGAGCTTCTAGCAGAGCCAGAGTCAGCATAACTTAATGTTGAGCTGTATGAATGCCATTGGGATTTTACATGTCAGCATTTCTTTTCCACCTTCCTCTCTCTGAACTGGACATTAGAGGTTAGGGCTCTGGAAATGGCAGTGGTTGGCTGCTGGAGTTACAGGACGTGCTTACTCTGCATGCTTTTCAACTGAAAGTTCATACCAGTTATGATCAAGGCGTAATTTTTGCAGGGTCTCAATAATTGTAAGCAAACATTTGAAGAAGAAAATTATTACAGTTGGAAGATGATTCAAGCAGATGTTGAGACAGTGCTCAAGGTTTGATGGAATTTTGCATCTCTCTGCTTTAAACAGGTTGGTTGGTACCAGTGGCTTCAGTGCCTCTGCTGCTGACAGTGTATGCTACCTCAGGGAAATCTACCTCCTGGCATGAAAAGATTAACATAATGCATGTGAGAATGAAGAATTTTGCTGGTGAAACTTCCTCCTTAATATATATGCAATGGGCATGATTAAGTTACATATTTGGAGAAGTAAAATACACAGCTCATACCGCTTTGGGACAAGAATCTAATTACTATGTTTTGCTGATTTTATTTCTTAAGGAGAAGGGAAGACTATTGCAAAGTTTATTAAAACTATGATGGAAAGATTTGCTTTGTGAGCAACTTACTAGTGATTCTCTAAAACCTGGTATAAGGAGGGGAACAAGGTTTCTGCAACAGCTTTGAACTCAGGTTCTTTTTTTTTAATGTGAGAGCATGCTTTGTTAAAAAGCTTCTAGCTATCTGTATGTCTCCCTTGTTATGTGTTTGGTATGTATTTTACGACTAGCGAATGTTAAGGTTTCGTTACAGAAATTTTTTTTACCATCATGGTTGGTGATATTTCTACTGAGCTGTAATAAGGAAAATGTTTTTTTCCAACTCAAACTAATTAGCTGGCCTAATGCATTTGAATGCCAGTCTTTCTTCCTGGCCCCCCGAAAGAATGGAGTGTGTGTGGAGAGGCAGTGACACTATGGTTTGATGATAACGACAAAGTAGTCCCTTTGGTCTTTCAGTCGTGTTTCAGCGGGCGCTCTATGTTAGAAGTCAAATTGCATATTGTTTCGGTACTGGCTTTTGAACTGTGCTATGGTTTGCGTTGATGTGTCAGATGATAAACTGTCATCTTGGAAAGTAATTGTAAGAATTAAGCTATGACTAGGAAAACTGAATGACTTGAGATTCGGTAGCAAATAAAATAATTCCCCAATCTTACCAGCAGTTCTAATAATATTCAGTCATACTTTCTGATAGAAAATGTTTTATCCAATTTCTTCACATAGGAACAAGTCTTGTTTCTGTACTAAACAATTGGGAGGGGGTTAATTTCTGTTCAATGTCCTAAAATATCTTGCATATAACATGAAATTGGAGCATGTTTGTGTGTGAAAAAAGAGCGGGGACTTCTTTCTTCCTGTAAGCCTTTATATAGGTAAAACTCAGTCACCCTGGCAAACTTTTCTTTTTTAAGTTGAGAAGTAGAGATAGCATTTCTGATGGTCATTTGCTTCTAATGTTGCTTTTTTTCTCTGCGGTGAGATTATTATGATCCTAGTATCATTTTTTAAAGTACTTGTAAATCTGTGGGTTTCTTCATCATATGAAAGATAACTGTAATTGAAAAAAAAAAAAGAAAATCAAAATATTCCTTGTAACTTCTGTGCAGCTGTTGGACTTAAGCTCTTCACAAGTAGTTTGTAGTGGTGAGATCACAAGCAGAGCCCAGTCAGAACCCCAGTTTCAAGTACTTTTTTGGTTAAATTTGCACATAGAGCTATTAATCCTTCATACTGTTTTCAAATTTACATGTCAGGACAGCTAAATCCGTATTCTCTCCAGACTAAGGTGTACCTAGGTGCCAGTGAGAACTTTAATGTTTTTATTTAAGCCTGTAGTAGATACTTGCCCATTAGCTCTAGGAGTGCACAGCCATGGTAGAGAATATTGCATATGAAAGGCAAATGTTGAGGTTTCCACTGTTGTTCCTGGAATAGAAATAATGTCTGACCATCCCCTTTGGTTTTTGGAAGCCTGGTGGGTGCAGCTCTGCCTCTGGTGTAAACTGACCTGGCATTAAACAAGCACCATGCCATCTCCTGCATTGCCATTAGTGTTCATGAGGAATTGGATCAAAAACCTGATCCAGCTGGGAGTTAATTCAGCCATTTCTTCTTTTCCCTCCCCCAAATTTTGTAATACTTTCGTGGGGAGGAGGAAGAGAAGAAGGAAGTTTGTATGTGTTCTAGTTCTTCTGTTAATTTTATTCTGCAATAGCAAGTACTAGAAGCACTTGGAAGTTGGGCAGAGGGGTGGGGGAAGACAGTGCCTCATTCAAGGAAGAGTCTGCAGGATTGATCAGGGAAGGTGAGGGTAGCAGATGGGGAGGGATTACTCCTTGATGGGGTGGAAGTGAAGTAATACTGCTACTTTCTAGCTGTTTAGTGATACTTACATACTGGATTTTGAAAATAGTCTATGTCTGAGTAACATAATGTACCGTAATGGGGAGAGCAAGGTTTGAACAACTTCATTAACGTTTCAGATTATGGCTTCAGATCATTTTGAAACTCTGATTAGCTCTACTGTGGGAGTATTTCTTCTGCTAAGTGAGAAATAAACTTCTGTCTCGTATCTGTTAACTCAGCACCTTGAATTCAGCACATAGAACTGTCATTTGAAAGAAATTCTTAATATTTTACTTTTTTGTTTGTTTGTTTGAAAATACATGAATAATTTGAAAGGCTAAGGCTCTTTTCCTAGGTCTAGGGAAGAAAATTTAATTGATGATTAATTTACTGCCAGATTTTTAAGTTATTTTTTTAAGGTAGTTTCATAGCGCCTGTGGCCCTTGCTGGGGTGTCATCCTTCTAAGCACTGTGCGAGTACCTAACAAACTAGTGTTCCTTTGAAGTTAAATGATTTAACTTCCCAATGATTAATTCTTATGCTTTCTAGAGATGTGAGTTTCTACTTTTTTGGGGTGTTGAAATAATAGGCATCTTGTGTTTCCTCCATTTGGGAAGAAAAATCTCCCATCAGTAGGCTTGCCAGTGGCATGTGTTTGGAAAATCCCGCAGAAAACTTCTTAAATTGTACCTCATAATATAGCATGCATGTTTCCTTAGTATATTATTTATACTTGAACTTCATTTATAAAGAGTAGTTTGCAATTGTTGGCAGTTCTGGCTGCACACAGCTATGCAAATAATTTACTAGCATTTCTTTTATATATGGCTCTGTTGCCCAGTAGTTATTATTTTCCGCTGAGTAGCCCGAGGCATTCTTTCAGAAGCTGTGTTCTTGTGTGCTGGGTTTCCTGAAATAGGAGTTTTAATGCTGCTTCCTCAGTGTATCTCCAGATGGTGAAACTTTATTCCACTTTGCCTTATGGTTCTATCATACTTTTGCATTTAGTCCCCCCTTACCATTCCGCTTCACCGTGCCCCAAGTCGTTCCAGATACACTCGGAGTAAATTTTAAGCTACTCTCATACTGCGCTCGTATTTCCCATTGAAAAGTGTGGTACAGAGCAACTGCATGAATTATATTTATTTATTTAGTATGTTTGTTATTTGCTATTTATTTAAAACTTCTGGGGGAATAAGTGTTGCAGCTGCTGCTGTTGCGTATTTGATGAAATTGGTGATGTCTAAATTTTGACTAATACAGAACTGTGCACGTTACCAAGCACACACCAAGACAGTTCAGACTTGCAAATGGGCTCAGAGGGCTTGATCTCACCCCTTTTCGCTGCCACTCCAACATCTGTTTCTAACAGGGGAAATAAGAGGCACAGCTTTTTTAAATTTCTGCCCTCTTCTGGAACGCTGCACATGAGAAACTTTAATATTGTTGTACCTAGTTCACAGGCCTCCTGCTTTTAGTGAAATAGGTTGGAGAATTAGTGATGTGGTGAGAGCTGTGCCTTCGCTTCTGATAGCAGGTGCTGGTCTGAAGAGTTATCTGGCGAGGGGATACTTCTGTTAGAGGTATTTTGAGGGCGGTTCTGAGAGATGAAACGGACTTGAGAAGGCAGATGACGTGTACGCCTCCAGTCCCTCCAGCCGCGTACTGCAGGGAGTGAGGCAATTGCCAGGTAAGGCACGCATTTCTCTACATTCTCCATTGGAAAAGGTCAGGTTTGGGTCGGTATGTATCTATGTATGTTACTTTATAGCACAAAAATTGAAGTTGAAGAGCACAAAGACTTAAAATACCCTCCTCCAGGGAAATCCTGGCAGAGCGCCACGATTACAATCAGTTGTTTAGGATAGAAATGGCTTGCTGGACAGACAAAGAAATGTAAGTGCTATGATCATCATCTTTGTGAATTAATGCAGTATTACACATTTGGTAATGGTAGCTGTGAGGTAGGAATTACTTCAAGGCTGAGAAACTCAGGAGAAAGCCTTTAAAGAAGTTCTAGGTCCTGTTCTTCCATATGATTGTTTTTCTTCAAAGGAAGGGAGATTAGGTTATTTCAGTAATGAAATACCTACTAGGTTTCAGTAATGTGCTTGGTACTGTAAAAGGAGAAGTGGTAGCACTACTGGAAATCAGAAAAAAAGCTACTTCTAATGCCTTTGTTTACTCTGTGATAAAGCAACTAAAACAATGACATTACGATATAATTCCATGCCCATGCTCCCTTTCTCTTTCTTGTCCATTTCTGAGGTCTGATCATGGAGAAAGTAACTGAAATTTTAACATCTGCAATGTGCCTTTGAAATTGAATGATTGGAATTTACTTTGTCTTTTCTTGTAGTTCTGACCTGAGATTATTATCAAAGGAACTGGTTTAAAACACAGCAAAACCCTAACAAAAGCAGAGACTCCCAAATACTCCACTAAATTAAAATTGACTTGTTGTGCATTTTATATATATGTATGTGTGTATGTATATGTATGAACACATATAAAATGTATGTATATTGGGGGGAGGAAGGGAAGCTCCAAACAGCCTTTGCTAAACTACTTAAACTTTGCAGTTATTATAACAGATTAAACTATTGCTTTCCAGTTTATCACACATATCTGAAGTGAAATAAATCTTCGGAATATTTTTGCTTCCTTATTTCAGAAAACGGACGTATTTGCAGCTGGATTTTTTTTTTTTTCCCACAGCTTTATATTGCCCCTGGCTGTTGAAGTTAGGGACAGTTTAACAGTTCACGAACAAGTCATTTCCATGTCTACTGACTGGCAACCGTGAATCACTCATTGTTAGGCTTATTCTGGCCAGACCTGTCTTGTCTTCTAATAATAAATGCCTTCCCTCAAATTCTTGCTCCTTTTTAGGAAATAGATGGCTTAATTGGGTCAAAACATAGCTTTATTTTTTTGTGTAATTGTGTGCAATCTGTAGTTCTTGTCACTTACTTATTTAAACCTTGTCAAAGCAGCATTAAAATAGTGGTAAGTGCTTTG